CCCCCCCCCCCCCAAAACAACCAAATTAGAGAGTTTTAACGCTTTCTATCAACGAGCATGCATTGTTTTGCGCACTTATTTGCTGATTTTCCTTTCTTTGGTGCTCCTTTGTGTGGTTTTTCCCTGAAGAAATTTAACCACATCTGTCTAGTTCTGGACAGAGTGGTGTTAATCCTTATTAAGAAAAAAATAAACAGGGTGGTGTTAATATTTCCTGGTCTTATTTTCCTCGGATCTCATGGACATTTTTTATTCATCTTTTTCAGTTAACGTTGGGTGTAGTGGATACCCGATAAGCAACACAGTGAATGAACACCCATCTGCTGCAATTCACCCCACCAAAAGAGTCCGGGATGCTGAACCAAACTATAGCCAGCAAAAGCTTAAGATATCCTTGAATAACAACTTTTGTCAGAATGAAGTGGATCAAGCTGGAAGCATTTTGAATCCAAATACTGTATCAACTGGACTCAGACTTTCTTATGAGGAAAAAGAACGTAATTCCTCAGTCACTTCTGCTCCTGAGAACATGAAAGCAGCCCTTCTTGCTTTTCTTCCGATAGACAGTGGTTTTAAACTTGAGATTGACAGGCAAAGAGAAGGATTTGATCGGTACATAAAAGTGCAGGTAATGCAATTATTGTTTTGAGAAAGCGTGATGTAATTATTAACTTTGTCCGAAATTTGGCATGTTAAATTTTTGATTGATCTGGATTAAGTTACACAAGTGTATGAAAAAGGAATACGTTTCTTTACTATCCATTCTTGATATCTATGTCTACCTCCTGATAAAGGGTTTCATATACATCTAGTCATCATTATGTATCTTTCAATTTGCCGGGATTTTACTTCTAAAAGTTGTTGATTCTATGATTAAGAGCATTTCCATGTATGCATCCCCACAAGGTTGGTGCTCTATTTTATTTCTTAGAATTGGGCAAACGTTGATACTTAGTGGCATTTAATAGTGTGAGAAATGACTTGGAGGTTGGATAGTCAACTAATATGTTTTGTATCTTTCTGCATTGAAATTGTATTTTCTTAAGTTTTAGTCCTTTGCCATTACTGATGCATCCTTGGTATCTCAGGAAGATAATATGATGAAGGGCATGCGGGAGTTGATTCATCGACAGACAGTATCTTTACTGAACTCCTTGCAAAAAGAAGTTAACAAGAGATTATATGAGAAAGATCTTGAAATAGGCAATTTGAACCGCAAGAACAAGGAACTTGGGGAGAGAATAAAGCAGATTACTGTAGAAGCTCAATCATGGCATTACAGAGCAAAGTACAACGAATCGGTTGCCAATGCCCTGAAAAGCAATATTCAGCTGGCCATGGCCCATGGTTCCATGCAAGTTCAGGAAGGCTGCGGAGATAGTGAAGTAAATGATGCTGCCTCAAGTACGAACCACCTTGGTTTGGCAGGCGGTTCGCAAGACCAAGTACCCCAAATACAGCAGCTAAAATGCAGAGCTTGCAAGAGTAAAGAAGTCAGTGTCTTGCTATTTCCATGCAGACACTTGTGTCTTTGTAAAGAATGTGAAGGGTTTATTGATAGTTGCCCAGTATGCCAGGTAATGAAGACTGCAAGTGTTCAAGTTTACATGTCATGAAGACGTATACGAACACTTGCAATCATCATCATCTTTGAATTAAGGGAGGAATGTTTAATTTATGAATAGGCTGTTATGTTTATTACAATCATGAATGGTGCATTTCTTAACTATATGAATACAAAACAGTTGAAACGAGGGTGGTCTTTTTTCTGGATTGGGCATTGTTTCTTATGCTTAGCAGGGGGTAAAACCCATTATGGACCACTGCAGTAGGAGATATGGTAGCTCTGGATATTTGCAAGTTGCAAGTAACAACAAAAATGGTAAAGATGCTTATGGCAACAAGAAGTTAAATAAGAAGCAATTTTTTTACTAAAATAAGTATATGAATCTATATTATGAATCTGTCTAGATGCATTCTTCCAAAGTCTCCTAGATTTACTGTTCCATTTCACTTGTCATACATACTTTAAATTAATGACGACTAATTTGTTTTGTTTTAACGCAGAAAAAATGGAGAAGGAAAAGGATGAAAACCTAGCATAAGGAGATTAGATGAAAATCTATAGTGTGATGGGGTCAATTTGTTGCCTAATTGGCCGCCTTGTTTGTGTTAGGAACGTTCTTTGTAGTCATTAAATAGTGTAGTAGTAGAACTTTGGTGGGAAATGACTCCTTTGCATATGGTCTTCAAACTAAACATCTTGTGTTGTCCTTTCCCTTATAATTATAATAGAGCACTAGCAGTGAATGCCTTACCTTTTATTATATTAAGTTTTTTTAAATACTATTTACTCCCTTTATTCCAGAATGAGTTATCTTTTTCGTCTCTCACATAATGTCATCTATCTTGATCTTATAAGATCCTTCAAATAAAACACACATAATTCTGTCCTTAGTATTCTTGTTTAGTTAAATTAAGAAAATTACGCTAGGAGCCTAGGATGGAGGAGGGAGTAAGGAGGAATACGAAGCAACAGTATAACAGTTATTTTCCAAAGAATATGGTCTTGGAAATTATAAGGAGCTTCGTACTTCAGGGACATGAATCTTGGACTTGATGATGCAAGTATATTGTATAGATTTCGGCCTTCGTATGATTGATCGAGGTCGAAACATAATGGATCGAAAAAAGATTTCGTAATATCGAGATGGGTTCCGAACATGGTATGAAAGAGTTTCAGATTTCAGGTATAGGTCAAACACCGAGTTCGAAGTCATTATCGAGCTCGGGTCCGAATCGAACTATGATGAGATGATTTCGAGCTTAGGAGGCAGAGGTCAACCGATACCGAGCCCGAATCATCACCTTATTCCGAGTACACATCGAGCTCTAGAAGCAATATCGACCAGGACCGAGGCCGATCGAGCTCGAGCTCACAGACAAGAGTCGTTGCAAACACACTAAGGGAGAGAATCTTGGCGGAAATTAGGGAAAAACTGATTTATCATGGGTTCTCCACTATGTATTTTTAATTATATCTAAAGTAGGATCCTCCACTACAAAGAAGATGGCTACATTTCTGTAAAGACAGTTTTTTGGCCTACATTGTAATTCAAGCACCACATTCTCCTATATTCAAGGATTATTCTTTTAAGTTTCATTAATTGATTCATTGTGCTTAGTCCTAAAAATAATCTTCTTTACAATCTTGTTTATTTTGCATTCTTGGCAATCCATATTTGATATTTCTGTTTATCCTTACGATTTGTATTAAGATATATCACATATCCTTAGAACCACATACAAATTCAACTCTATCCGTTTTTCGGGTAAACAGTTTGGTGCCCACCGTGGGGCTAAGGATAACAGTGGTTATTTGATACGAAACTGCAAAAACACACCGTTTTGCGCTTGTTTCCGAAAGTACCTTGGATTTCGGATTAACATCGACTAACTACCAATCAAATATCCTTACCTATCGACAACGAAGTTGGTCTTCAAGATGAGAACAACAACTTGACACCCAGTACCGAAAGACCACTTGTCAACGCCGTTGGAGCTCGGATCGGAGTGCCGATAGATATCAATTCGCATGTAGCCATTGAGGCGAACGTACATTCTAAATCTGAAAATAGCATTCATGGTGGCACTCGGTCTACAGCTCGAGACACCCATAACATTCAGGAAAACGACGTCAGCTTGCGTATAATTTTTGAAATGTTGCAAGCCCAACAGATAGCGATAGCTTAGTTGCCAAGCCAAACCCAGCTACCAAGCAGGCCAGAGCCCAGTCCACCTCGAGAAATTGCCCACAGAACGGAGCCAGCTATAGTGAAGTCAAATGAACAAGAATCGGGGACTACTCCCAAAATTGCTAAAATACTCGAGGAGCTCACAAATCGAGTCGAAGCCAACGCTAAAAAAATAGATACATACAACTCCAGGGTTGATCAGAACCCACCACCAATATTGAAGGGCTTAGATTCCAAAAAGTTCCTACAAAAGCCTTTCCCCCCAAGCGCGGCTCCTAAACCGATCCCAAAGAAGTTCTGCATGCCCGAGATTCCTAAATATAACGGAACTACCGACCCTAACGAACATGTCACCTCATACACATGTGCCATCAAAGGGAACGATCTAGAAGATGATGAGATCGAATCTGTATTATTGAAGAAATTCGGTGAAACCCTCTCAATGGGAGCAATGATGTGATATCATAATTTGCCATATAATTCTATCGATTCTTTTTCTTTGCTTGCAGATTCCTTCGTAAAAGCACACGTCGGGGCCATAAAAATCGAGACCGGGAAGTCAGACTTGTTCAAGGTAAGACAAAAGTATAACGGATGCTAAGGGAGTTCGTATCTCGTTTTCAAATGGAACGAATTGATCTACCACCAGTCACAGATGATTGGGTTGTTCAGGCTTTCACTCATGGTTTGAACGAACGAAGTTCGACGGCTTCACGGCGGCTAAAGCATAACCTGATCGAGTACCCAGCTATTACTTGGGACGATGTGCATAGTCGATATCAATCAAAAATAAGAGTCGAAGACGACCAGTTGGTTTCTGGGTCCATTATCAAAAGGGCTGCCAATCAAGAACAGAGATCGATCAGAGACCGATACTGGTCGTATAATGGAAATCCTACAAGCTAGGTATGATAAACGGCTAAAACGATACTACTGCTAAGGTAC